AGATCTATTATATGAGCTTGCACAACTCCTTCAATGGGTAACTGTTTTATAAGACATTTCTTTCTTATCCTACATTTCCATTTACAGTTGGGACAGTGGCAACCCGTCTGCCTCCAGTCAAGGGCTGGGAAGGGCTCTTTCCAACACCTGAGAAAGCAAGAAAAGGTTACACAACTTGGTCTAAATTACCTCAAGTTTCTGCCAACACAAAATGTCCAAATTCTATTCACAACCAATAAAGCAGGCTTTATTGTCTGCCAGTCAAACTTCGAGGTCACATCCTCAAAAATCACCCCCCAAAAAAGACCCTTTCAGAAGTTCATTTTATGAAATTAAAATAATTCAGAATTAAGTTCTGCAATTAAAAACAAACAAACAAACAACAGTTTATCCAGATAACAAGCATTTTTGCAAAACATTCTAGGCAATCTTACTTACAAAGTGTTGTCTAGCTACCCAGCTCTAAATGGATCTCTCTTAGTAAAGCAGTCCTTTCCTGCCAAGCCCATTCTTTATTCCTTTAAGAGGAATCTTTTAGAAGAATTAATCCTTTAAATATTATTTATTCCTTTGGAATTCCTTTAAATGTTCCTTTACAAGTGAAGCAGTTTTCCAAATAGTAGGGGCTAAGAAGTGGCAAATACAACCTCCACCGGCTAAAACATTCTTATGCTGCTTCAAAAAGACCTACATACGGAAAGTTCCCACTTATTATATATTCTGAGAGCTATCACTTCTGACTGCTGGTAATTGCCAACATGTTCAGTTTGCTTAGCAACAGTTTTACAGTAGATGAACCATTTGTGCTATCATAAAGTAAGATACTTGCAGATTCTCTAAATGTTTGTGATGTTTCTACTGATTTTCTGTTGATGTGTGTGACATCTTCGTGGGACTGTCCAAATGGATTTGTCCAGATTTTCCCTTGGTTGTACCCTAGGGAAGGTAGAAGCACTCAAAACACTCACCTCTTTTCCCCCACTGTGGAATCATTTTTCTTTTGTTACTCATTGATGAAAACATTCTCAGCATCCCTACAGACTTACTTCAGCGGCATTATCCCTCTGCAAGTGCAGTACAGAAAATGACTGTGGCAAAAGTTTTGCTAGTGCCAGCCACTGTCTTCTACAAGCTCTGGACCTAATGGTAAAGTCAAAGAAAAACGCAGCTCTCACTTCAGATGCGGTTCTACGTGCAGCAAAGCAAGTTGCAGTCACAGCCTTTACCTGCTTCACAGTGGGAGCCCATTTGACAAAAACAAGTACAGGGTTCCTTATGTGAGCAGTGCGTCCGTCAGATCCGAGCAGGCAAGAATATCCAACTGTATGAGAGGTTATGAGCAACTACAAGCAACACACAGGGCAGTGGGATTTAGTGCAACTGTCCTTATCCTCTGTTCTTGTGTAACTTGTGATAAAAACCTCTGCTAACAAATTTTTCTAAGCTGTAGGATTTGTCCACACTCAGCTTTGTGCCATGACCACCATACATATCCTCATCCAATGCCAATCTTAAGTTAAATGTCTTCTGAGCCGCAACCACAGTGCAAGTGAAGGTGTACCCATGAGCTACGCTAACGAACTTGAGGGGACCCCAAGGACAGACAGATCAACATGGACCCTGATGCCCTCCCCTTCGGGTTACCATTCCTCTTGCACAGGCCTGTGGCTCAGCATGGAGCCCGTCCTGCTCCAAGCTCATGGCCAGCTGGGTCTCTTCCCAGTGTCCCTCTGCTCATGCCTCCCTTCACGCAATGCCTCTTTGGCCTCCCCCCCACTGCCAGCTAAGTTGTCATGGTCTTCCTTTCCCTCTTCGCAGAGGTCTAAGGGCATGGTTAAGGAAAGCTCTGCTGCTTGTGGTAAAGATGGCCACGTCACCAGAACACTCCAGAGGTATTTTGAACTCAGGCAGAGCCTCCAAATGATGAGGCATATGTAACCTTAACATTGGCATTGTCTGACTTTTGATGACTTAACTGTGTCACGGAAACTTTCCCGTGAATAAACACAAACCAAAAGTGTTTGACGCGACCAACTCATTATTGAAAAGGTTGTTCTAAAATAAGTCAGCAGAGTAACATTTGGTATACACTGCACTCTGACACGGTATTTTTACTCGTTTGGAGATTCTCAACTTCCTCAAAGTTCCATGGGATTAATTAGGGAAGTGATGGACTAGTTGGCACAGTTACACTGTTGTTACTGCAAGCCCTTAAAGAGGAGCACCAGTGGATTTTAGTGCAATGGATTATGACATTCCCTTAGACGCCGTTTCTGGACTTCTACCAGACATCACTGCCCTCCACAGCCGAGGAAACAGAGAAGCATTTGCCCCAGGTACCCCAGTATTTTAACACTAACCCACCTTTGCAAGTCTAGAAATAAGGCACACATTCATGATGACTTGTTGAACCTTGATACTGTTCTACCAGAGACAAAACTTAAATGCACCACCAAATGACTTTCTTCCTCCTCCAATATCAGACCAAGAAAGAAAAGACAGAAACTGGGAATCTGTAACCTGTGTCACAACAAGCAAACTACCAAAAACCACCAGGATAGGTGTGAGCCCCACAAAACATAGAGAGTTGAGCTTATGTGTCAATGCTGGGGCCAAGCAGACAGTTTCAAGTTGAGAGCTTAGATCTTACCAAGCTGTAGACTCCAATCAATCACAATTACTCTCAGCCAGCAAATACCAAGAAAAGACAACAGCAATTGCAACACCCCCAGTACACAAACCAGCAAGAAGCTCATCAGTCAGCAGCACAAACCAAGCCTGGGTATGGAATGCAAAATCTCCTGAACAATGAAACACAGAGAAAAAGGAAAGCCAAACATTGAGACAGTATCACTAAATACTATGCTGATTGTTTCTTCTTCTTTTCTTCTGTGCCACTCCCGCAGTCTGAGCAACTTACAAGACCTCTCCAGTTCACTGGCCTGTGCTTACACAGCGTTGCACTGTTCCTGTCTAGCCCACAATAAGTGCTGCCACATCTGCAAGAATAAAGCAAGATTTCTGAGTACATTGCAAAAGCTAGAAATAAGGCCTCAACTCTGAAGAGACAAAACGCATCTTGCTAGATCAATTCCAAACAGAAAATGGCATCTATCAAGAAATACTTACCAGCTCTCTATGGAGGAGCAGAACAGTAACATCCCCATAAAAACCAGTCATTCAACAGCCACAGCAGGGCATTAGAAAACTGGCACATTCAAAATAAGGGTATGATTCTCAGGGAAAAGTTTTTTGGTGACTACTAAGGGACCTTTTCAGACCTCTATCACTTTCACTGTCTGCAGAAAATAAAATAGTCCTTGAAATAGTTTACATAAAAAATAAAAGGCAAAGCTAGAAATTACTGAGTGGACAATACCCATACTCTTCCTAGAAAATACTTAAGAGCAGTTCATAGGCTCAGTCTCAAACACTGAATATTTTCCCCTGAATATCAGCAGCCCAAAAAAATCTGCTAAGAGTGTGAAATACTGGTTAGAAGTTGGGTTGGCTTTGGTTTTTTTAATGGGAAGGTGTTTTAAAATCAATTTTACATTTTATGTGGGGTTTTTTGCTATTGGATTCTAAAGTACTTTACTTGACTTGTGAGAAGTTTGCTGTATTTATTCCCGTGCAAGATTTTGTCTCTTTTCTCTTTTTCTGCATGGCAGAACTCTTCAATTCTTATTTTTCCCCTTTCCCAACTATTATACTGAAATTAATATGAAAGAAATAAAGTATGTCCATATTACATATAGCAGAATTTTTCCCCATGAACACCAACCTTCAAGTTGCAATCCTGCAAGTATTTCATGCTGTTCACTTTTTGAGCAAGAATCTGCTTATAAAATACACCTCTGATATAGCACAGAGGAAGTTTTACTCAAACTTTAAGACTGAGACATTAACTAACATTAAGATGACCACAATTTCCTGGCAAAATACCAATTACTCCTTCACTCCCACAGATTTCATATTGATTTTATCCCTACCATTTTTCCCCATTTTCACAATTATTTAAAAAAAAAAAAAAAGTCAAAATGAAAGTATCTCAACAGGAAAAATGTCCTTTCCTAGCAAAGGCTGGACATCTCCCCACGTTGAGAGCAATCCAGCATGGAAATCCCAGCTGATGGCCACATACCCTGCTGGGGTATCTGCTCATACTTGATCACTTACATGGAGCCACTGCTAGTCATTTTGAATTGCTGTTTCTGTATGAATGGACCAGTACTGATGGCTTGATAGAGTGCAACACGGTATTTCACAGATAGCAATGTTATAACACATACTCAAAAAATGGCAGGAAAAAATCTGTTAGCTTTGATGACCTTAACTTCTGTCTCTAACTTCTGTCTCCAATAAATTCCAAGTTCTGATTGTTTGTGGAGGGCAAACCTGTTCATAACCTCAGGATTACTGCCAGTTAAAAAGCAGCTGCTTTTATGACAATAAAGATGAACACAGGATTAACCAAGATTTAAAGTTACATTTTTTGATATATAAGGAGAGCAAAATTTAAAAAGAAGAAACTACAATTAATATACAGGAAATCTGGAAGATCAGCGCACAAGAACTCTTCTGGAAGACACCTGGCAAACTGGAAATACATCCAACTGCTTCAGAAGTTCACTCCCCGTGATGCTTTTCCTCTAACTAGATACTGCAGAAAGAACATCTACCCACCATAAACAGTCACCATTGTCTCCACAGCTATCAGCGCTGCAGATACTGAAGAAAGAGCTGCTAGCTGACATCTGGATCATTTAAGCACATTTTTGATACAGTTTATCATCATGCATAGTTGCCTGCCCTTTGCTATCACACAGGGGTAAAACAGAAATAAATTGCATCTTTGGGGATGCAAATGCTTGCTCATTTAATGTCACCATTCACGTAGAACAGCGGAAGTACAAGCCTGTAAATGAAAATAATTATTTTCCCCAAAGGATTTTACATTATAGTCCAGTTCAGATTAAACTACAAAACCAAGACTTTGAAGTATCAAAGAACATTTTATTAAAATGGAAGTTTGTCAAACCTTATGTATCAAAACTAAGGCCACAGCTAATGCTAACACAAAGTCAACCTCAAAAGGTTCTTAAAATATGATACAATTTAAAAATGCTATACAAAGCTATTTTACAAATAAGTACTTGAACATTCTGAAATGCAGCATTACTTACTTGTTCTAAAATGATATATCAATTATTCTAGTGATAATATCTAATGGTACAAAATACTGAACTATCAATTCATATAATCTGTCTGTATTTTGGTCCTATAAGGAAAGTAATGTTCTGCATTACTCTAGCTACAGAAATGAATGGAAGTACAAAATATTGTAATGGAAGCTCCCCACGATGCCTCTCTTTTGTGCCGAGTCCACTTCTTCTGATGCTAAATATCTCCAGTCATAATAGCAATGAACTCTTCTTGATTGACTGTAGAAAAAGAGAAAATCATTAGACAAACATTCATAAACTATAAAAGAAAATAATGCATATATGTATTACACTTTTTACTTAAAGGTCTCCCTGTTAGTATTCATCGTGCCTGATCCATTACTAATCAGGATTTACAAGTTTGGATTTTTTGCTTCTAGAACAACAGGTATTTTGCACTTTTTTTCCTCCCTCCCATGTAAAAGCCAGAATGTAAGCTTAATTATATAGAATACTTAAGCCAGAATCTAGCTCACATATAACAAGCTATTATTTCCAATTATGAAAATAAAAACATTCTAAAAGTAAAACAAGATAGCAAAACCACAGAGAATAGTATGTAAAAAGATGGTTATGCAAAACCGTAATACTTTGACTTTTTAAGATTTATGAAAACATTAACAATGGTAGATAAATTTTATTTAATAAGTGCTTCTCAAGCAACAATGCTGCAACTCCAGTTATGATCAAATTTGATTTTATTCTCTAAAATCATGATTCAGACATTTATGTCCAATCCCCCCCAAAACCATAGTATTCCTCTCTCTCACCAATCTTTAACACTTGCCAAACACAAAATTAATTTTAAGATACTTTACTAATGATTCCATAAATTAGCTGGAATTAAAATGGACTTTTGACAAGCTGTGCCACATCTGAACTTTCTTCATTCTTCAGTTACAATTAACAGAAATTTTACACAAATGTTCTTGAAGAAATTAAGTCGTAATAATAAATTAATTAGCAGTTATTAATTATTTGGTGCACTTACACCTGAGCTATTGACCTTACTCATATGTTAGAGCCACTGTAAAAGAGTTAACCAATGAACATGTTCACTCTGCAACTAATTATTGTAGTGGGGAATGATTAGAATAAGTCAGCAGTATGGAAAAGACCAGGCACATAAGAAGAATTCTCCCTGACAATTATGTGTCCCAGCCAATGTGCCCAAGCTATTCCTAAAGAGAGCACAGGAAAGAGAGGGCTACATTTACAGCTAGAAGAAAATCAAACAAATTCAATTAGGTTAAAGAATAAAAAAATAAACCTGAATCTGCCCTATTGCAACACATTTCAAAAACATAAAACAAGTAGATTTAGTCTAGCTATGCTCTGAAATATCAGTCTATCACATAGCTACATCATGTTCTACTACACATAAACATTATGTTGCCTATATGACTTTAAAAAGCATTTCCACAGATGCATACATTTCATAGCATCAGCACAATAACAGCACAAATACAAACATCCCCCCCAAAATATTCTCTGGTTTAAAATATCTTTGTTAAACAATGCTGCAAAGTGGAAATACAGTATGATAGTGACCAACAAATTTTCAAACATTCAAACCAACTGCAAAGAGAAGCATAGTTACAATTCCTGGTAACCCAGTTAATCATCCTCAGACTTAAGATCTATTCACAAGTTAAGCACAATGAAACTGGAAGCAATCATAGCCTTTCCTAGGGTCAGATTTCCCTCAATTCCATGACATAAATGATCATAAAATAACTATTGCTGAAACCAGGATAAAAACAAACTAGTATCACAGCTTATATGAAAAAAATGTTGACTTGGACTCTGGAGAGTTAAAGGAGCATATTATTTCAGCGGTGTTTTTTTCCCAAATTCTGTGCCAAAATCTGAGACCAAAGACTGCATCATCTTTCCTATACGTGCATCCACACAGGAAGACAAAAACTGCCTGAGTTGACAGCATGGAGTTTCTGAAAACGGAAGTAATTCCTAAGACCAGGAATACAAAAATAAGACTATTTACCTTTCTAAGGCAGACAGAAATATGTAAAAAATATTTTCTTCTACAAAAACTTATGTACAGTGCACCAGTACAGCTCAGTGATTTCACTGGAAACACAAGGGTTCAGGTAGCCTGGGTATCACACAACGGGCCTTATTTCACTATGAGCAAAACAATCTCTCAAATATAAGAAGGCTGTTAAACTACACGTGGTATTATTCCTGTATTTGAAGTACCCATTAAAAATTCTACCAACTAGCAGTTCCAGATTAATTTTTTTGTCAGGAGGAAGAGAACTATATGACAGCAAGATTATGCTACATAACCCACATGTTTGAAGCTAAATGGAACAGGATTATTTACTTTTTCAGAATGAATTTTAAAAAGCTAGAAACAACATCAGTTTTCTTTAAAGAACGGAAAACACACAAAACCTTAAGGATAAACAGCACCTTATACAAACATTATGCTGTCAATCTTCCGTATTCGATTTAGTGCTTGACTGCTCTGACAAAGAGAATGGATGGATGAATGAATAAGAGGAAACCGAGCCACCCACTCTCAGCTGATCAACTTGAATTAAAAAATGTGGCACTGACCTGAAATAGTTATGACTCAGTAACCTTCCTGAAAGGAGCTAATAATCTATATTCAACTTGTAGTGACCAAATAGCCACATGACAAAAAAACATCCTTGATCCATGATTCTGACGTCTCAGTTGGCAGCTCCAGCACGACACAGAACAACATGAGCTTGCAGATGACTTCTACTCTCACTCACTTCTATGGCTACACCTTCCAAAAAAAAAAAAAAAGAAAAACTAGGAAAGCAAAGTCCTTACAACTCTTTTCTTT